GGACAAAGATTGTTTGACAGTTCATTATATGATTGCTAGTTATTCTATAGTTCTACGTGCAACCCTTCACGTGTTTCCTGCCAAATCCAACAAGGGGGTTGTGTTTTTGGTCCCTCTTGTCCAATTGTTAACTTAAAAACTTGTTGACAGTGCAATTTTGAATGAAAGCTGGTAGAAAGATGGGCTGTGGAACCAGATCCTAGGACGGGACATGTCTAAATATTGTTGCTATTTGCTCTCACTTAAATTAAACCGAAATCTGGCCCACATAACTCTGATAATAATTTTGATGCAGATTTAGATCTAAATTGTGATAGAAAGTTTCAAAAACATTTTCTGTGATTAATTAAAATTAATTACTATTCAAACTTAAGTGACCATGTTTTAGGGTTAAGACATGGTCACGTCCTTAAAGGCAAAGATATGCACTCTTTGCTTTTGGGGTTTAACCACGAAGCAAATGTACCATGACTATTTATAACTTCAGGTATGCGCGCTCACCCCTGTCAGTGGGCTGTGTGTTGGCACTGCTGATGTTGAACTGATAAAGTGAGTAGATATCGTCTTCACCCACGGCTGACATCTGACAGCTTCTCTCTGTACTGACATCCACCAGCAATGAAAACTCTACAGGACACACAAAAGGAAGAAAAAAGAAAATTCTTCATGTTCAAGTGTACGACTTGTTCTAACAGTTCTCTCAGAGGTTTCAAATGGTAATCTATCACAGTGCGAGTCTACAGACAGTCTTGTACCTGAGGAGCTGACGTGCGTTGGAATATTCACATCTGGGCTTAGACCCAGGAAGTTGCATTTGTAGGCCTCCTCATACTGAGCACTGTATGGCACCGAACGCACACAGCCTACTGGGACCAAAGACTGATGGGAAACAGGACAGAGTTAATGGCCCTGCTCACCCACTCAGTTATTGTGGCTGATAGGCCTTGTTCACAGAAGGCAGTTTGACATGGCACAGTAGGAAAAGCACAGGTGTAAATAATAAAATTAATGATCGCTGCTTCACTTTCTGGGTCCTGGTTTTGCTCATGTGGCCTCAATGTCACGCTGTCATGGTTTACTGGGACACACGAATAGAAGTAAGTCATCGTTAATGTCATTGGGAACACCTGTGATTTTCCTACAATGACGAGGCAAAATCTCTGCTGTAAAAATACACTCAGATATCTCGCCACAGTAAAACAGTTGTCAACTGAAAATAGTTACAAGCTCCATCTTGTTTGTGTATCTAGCATAGAAATTTCAGCTGAGCATGTACAGGCAAAGACTATTTCAAGGCGTGCCATGGTAAGTTCAAATGTCTTCAGGGGAAGAGTTAGAAGTTAGAAAAAAAACAAAATGAATGCACAAAAGTATCTTTGTGGAGGAATAGCTGAAACACGATCTAATCAGTTTATATCTCATCAAATATATTTACATAACATGGAATTAATCATTTAGATTCATCATATTTCACAAGTACTTTTCAACCTTGACAGGATAAAACCAAAGTCTTTTGTGTTAAATGATTATTGTAAGAGTTACAATTGTGTCCACTACACTGCATCTAAATTTAACAACGGCTAAACTAATGAGGACCCAGGTGTTATCACTTGTCCTAATTGATATCTACCCACATCATAGTGACACGATCTCTCCTAACGAGGCAGAAAGGGACGCAGCAGCAGAGTAAACTACCTTGAGCAGCGTGAAAGCTGACTGGATGAGCCCGGGGTCAGCGCCTCTCCATATGACCTGGTTTCCCATGAGCACGTGCCACACTAGCTGACGAAACTCAGCACCCCCGAGAACCTGCAGAATAAATCAGACTGAAATGTGCAACGCCTCAAAGATATGTTATGTGAGCAGATGTTCAAATGTGAATTAACTTAAATGTATCAGATTAATACCATAAAACTATAAATTCATGCAAAAACTGTGTTTGTTACAGCCAAAAAAGCCCAAAACCAAAGTTTTTTATTTCTCTATTTTCAGTTTTCTGCACAACAAAATGACAAGCTGATAAAGTTTACCTGTCTCAAATGCCTCAGCGACCTAAATTTTGGGCCGGGTAATTGACTTAATTTTTCATCATCACACAGGAAGTGGAGGCCCAGCTCACTCTCTAATTGGTGCCGCTGTGATGTAGAACAGCCTCCTTCTGCTCCTTCCCAGCAGCTCATTTCCTCCTCTTGCTCTTTTTGTAACAGAGAATGACATAAAAACAGAAATAGCAATGATCAAATGTTTTCAAGTAAAAAAAAAAACAATGCGGGGGAAATTCCACAGGAAATCTTGTAGACAGGGCTGGTTAAATGTCACTCTCCATATATAGAATTTAATGTGAGCATGATGCTACGCATGCTATTTTCAAACTGAAACCAGCACTGTACAATCTCACCGCTTATCTGTGACTAATTTCAACTGCCATACTAATAGATTTCCGAGTAAGGACAAGATGAAACAGCTTCCTCTGCGGTGTAAGGGTGACAGACTGTGCTCAAAGAAAAGAAACTTAACAAAAACTATTTCTACAAATTGACATTTTGATGTGTACTGCTTTAATATTGTGTAATACAGATGACATAATTATTTTCTTCTGTTGTATTTATCAATCACATTTTGATGTGTACTGCTTTAATATTGTGTAATACGGATGACGTAATTATTTTCTTCTGTTGTATTTCATGTGTATTTATTTATCAATTACATTTTGATGATGAAGTGTTAAAGAAATAAAGTGCACTTACAATATTAATAAAAGGGAACAGGGTATTAAAATTCCACAAACTACCAAAGAGCCGCGCTGGACTCGGAAATGTCTCTGAAAATCTTTTAATCAGTCTCTAATTCTTGACTAATAATTGTGTAAACACTTTCTGGAAAGGAAGTTTATTTGAGTACAATGGCTCTGTGAATAACCCGGTGTTTTTTCTGTGTGTCTGCACTGACTGACCCAGTGAATCACATTTTCACAGGAGACTTTTTTTTTTGTGCAAAGCACATGACATCTGCTGACATCATCTTCAAGAAAGAGGCCAAACCTTGCCTGGAAGCAACATGAAAGATATGTGGAAGCATTGCCAAGGATCCTCCTTTTTGGGATTAGTTTAATGTCAACGGAGATATTTGTTACCAAGTTACAGGCTTGAACAAGTGTTGGATAGGTAACTACAAATGTTTAGTGTGGAAAAACTTCCTTTAATCAAGGACATTGTGACTACCTGTCTGTCTCTCTATGAGCACCAGAGTGTCCTCAGTGGGGGCTCCCTCCAGTAGCTTCTCCGTCAGACGACAACCACATGCCTTCAGCAGCCTGGAGACGACGTGAAAACACAAATCCACGTCAAGGTGAGCCATTACGGACGACAGCTTGTATGTCACAGTGGGGCTGATGGTGTATCGACTCACCAGCTAAAGGACGAGTGCAGGCTGGCCCATAGGTTCTGATGCTGTGTAAGTGAGGTTAGTGATCGGGCTGCGTTGCCACTCCTTTGGTGTGGGAAAACTGCAGGTGAGAAGACACTGTTCATCCTCACTGCTCGCTGGGGACAAACTCCTTGTTCATTGTCAAACACCTGATGGAGAGAACAGTACCATAGTCACACACATGTAGAACAAGTCTTCATATTTGTATCTGAATAAACTGAATAAAGGTATGTCTGTGTCCATGTGTGCACCCTATACCTTGAGGGCTGTGCTTTGCAGGCTCTGTATAGTGAGTCTAAGGTGGCGTAACAGGAAAGGCCAGGAGTTGATAAGGTAGATCCTGTCCATTGCTACCATCACAATACTGTACCAGCGCTGGAAGCCCCTGGCCAGGCTGTCTTTGATAAAAAAGGTGTGTGAGAACACAAAACCATGTTGCTCATCGCCAAAGAAAATTGGTCCTTCACGGCCGGGACACACCTGATGAAACGGACAGAGAGCAGAAGTATATGTGGTGAAGGACGTTTATTTAGTGCATCAGATGTGTGACACACACATACGTACATACATGAAGACGTACATCACTGTTTACCTCACAGCTGAGGCTGCGTACGCAGGCCTGGCGGACCACGCTGAACAGCTGTGGCTGTCTGGGATGCTGGTGGCTCAGGAAGCGAATGCCTGTTTCATCATCAATGCTCACAAATCCTGGGTGAGATGCAGGAAGAGATCGACATCCCTGTGAGGTGAGGAGAAGAGGAACATTATTACTTTGAGATAGATGACAGGACTGTGGACCAACCTGCATACACCATTGTCACAGCTAGAGTGTTATAATGGAGAAGACAGGCAGGAAGAAGGGTGGCTCCGTTCAAATGGAGCTCACGTTCTGTCCTCACCTCACACATTTCCCCTCTCTGAGTGGCAGAGCTGTTGGCCCTCATGGTCAGCCCTTCACCTTCACGGTCACCATCTCTGTCCCTGTCCCCAGGCACTGGGGCACCTGTCTGGGATGAAGGGGACGGCGATGGAGGGTGCAGTGCCTCGGTGCAAAACAACGTCCGAGGGCCATGGAGCTCACAGAAATGACAGAGGGCAACCAGAGCATTCATCTGAAAAGGAGACAAGTTTTTTCATGTTTATTGAGCTGAATACATTTGAGCCTGATGTGAGCATTAACAAGCGGTTCATAACTTAACATTTGTTTCTGGTCAGTTACTGACATGACTAAGTAACACAAGGGTTAAGACATATTTACTACAACTGATAATATCAGATCGTCTTACCTTCAGCACAGAACAAAGTTCAACAAATGACTCAATGCCACTTCACACAGGGACATTCATTGGTCGCAGCGTAAAAAAACCCGTTATATAAAAAGCAACATTTTAAATGTGATATAAAACAAACTCAATTCTGTCCGTTTGACAAAAAACCATGATTCTCGGCGTCTCAGATTTAGATTTTCTACACTTTCCTTGTTCTGTTCTGTTTCCTTGCTCCTCGCTGACAACAGATCCTGTCACATGACAAGGAGTCACGCGCTCGAGAACAAATGACGCATGGCAGTTAGCTGCGCGAGCCTTTTTCGTAATTTTAACCGTTGAGTCGAAAATGTCTCAGTTATTTTTATAGCAATAATCTAGTCTCTGCAGAGGACTGCTTTATTTGCAAGTATCCGGCTTTATATAACGTTAGTGCTTCCACAAAGGCATTTCTCGTCGAAAGACGCATTAAAACTACATTACCCATGATTCCTTCTGCGATAACAAACTCAGGGTTAAAGGGCAATAACAAGTCAGAGTCGCGTGCTCCTTCGGTTAGTATGTCTAAAAATATTTTACAGGTGATTTTTAAAGACGTGTTTGTGTTGTATATGTATTATCTAAATATGAAGATTATTTTCTCAATGAGTTGTTGAGTTTTTAAAGGTGTTGTAACCAAATTTGTAACGCTAAACAACCACTTCCGCATTATATTTAGGAGTGGTCGGTTTTATTTTGTCACAACGTCACGTAAAACAATAATGGCAGCAAAAACAAAATTGACACAGCACACGGGTTTGAAGTAATGTTTCCTTTTAAATCACAGATTTGAGCATGGCATCAGACGGAGTAGGAATAGCCTCATCAGAGGACCAGCAGGATGAGGGGACCCACTTGACAGACACGCCCAGGCCAGAGGCAGGGGTCCCTGAAAAAGACACCCTAAAAGCCACAGCAGGTAAGTAAGCGTCATACACAGTAACTAACTTCTTTTGAGACATTACATAGCAGTAGGTAAATCCATGTATCACATATCAAAGAGACTATTATCTACAGTGTTTGTAACTATCTATCACTGAAATCAGTCTGAGTCTTTACCGAGTAATAGACTACGTAATAAAATTACCCAGTCTTTGATATATTTCTGTGTTACTGTGAACAATTGGATTTCTGGTAAGCTCTCAGTGGTTCGGCTGTATCAAAGACTGGAAGGCGGAGCTGAATGAGTTAGCTGGTGTGAGTCAGGAGCCTGTACCTCTGTATTACTGGGCTCAAATCCAGACGAATGTTCCAAGGGAATAAAGAACTCCTTCATTATTATTTCATCCAGTCACTTCCAGTCTTGACTCTCATGTTCTCCCCGTGACCTGGTCAACCTGTGCAAGTCGGTACCATCTCAGTGGGAAGGAAAATATTACAGCTAATAATTAAAAGATTTGGGGCGTGAGTCACATCCAGGCCTCCGATCTCGACATAGCGGCGCAGGGTGTGCGGCATGTGTTTGAGTTTACAGGCAACTGGCTCAGCTACTTGGCTGACATTTTAAATCTTCTGGGACGAGTCATTGCCACCTGTTACATGAGTTGTAGTGCTACAGTAATAGTAATACGGTGTTATACACGTCATCCTTTTCCACTTCCAGTTTTTACTCCTGGGGATTAATCACTTATTTATCCCTTAGTTGCAATATCAGACCTGTTTAAATAAGGATCATAAGGAATCTAATAAAAGAGTTCAGTATTTGATGGCAGGTGATTGTGGATCTTATTTCCTTTGATCTGTACATTTAACATCTATGTGTGATCAGACACACACAAACATATGTCACTGACATGGAGACACAACTCAACCATGTATTGACAACGCATACAGCAGAAACAGATACAAAGACAAGCCTGCTGGTGTTACGCGGGGCTACTTTGGGTATAATTCACCTTTTATTCATGTCGTTGCTTTGTTTCTTTAATTTAATTTAAATGCAGAGTCCATATTAAGAGGTTGCTCGATTTCATTACAGACTTTTATTACAGTTTTATTGCACTCTCTCTCGCTCTCGTTCTCTCTCTCTCTCTCTCTCATTGACAGAGTCAACAGAACGGGGTGAGAACGGAGTCAACGTGTGCCGGTTTTTCCTGATGGGAAAGTGTCATTTTGGCCACAGATGTCGTTTCTCTCACAGGTCTGCTCGGCCTTACCTTGTTCAGCAAACTCACCGTGAAGGAGGACTTTTAATTCTAAGTTACATTCTTGACACGTACATCATTTATTTTTAGTAACACTAAATGGTTTAAAAGGATAGGTTCACTTTCTTAAAAGCCCATTTTAAAGCAGTACTCACATGCCTCTATGCACACTGAAAGTGTAACTGGTTGCTGTAATTGTTGTAGTATAAGTGATGAGGGACAGAATCTCAATTCTGCGACAATTTCAGCCACCAATTGCTCTTTAATTGTACACGTGGGCACGTGAGTGTTGTTTTTAAGTCAGACTTGAAACGTCAACCTCTCCTTTAACTACACAATGCAAAGCTCCACCTGGTTACAGATACAGTCATTCTTCAGAAGTGTCTTTTTTAAATTGACTTTATTTTGTATTAACTATAACAATAAAGAGGTTAAAAATCATTGTAGCACGACAACTAGTATTAAAGTGATGGCTGCCTGAATGCTAATTCCTCATTGCTAAAATCTAGTGTTTAGAAGTGTATTGTGTGTATTTATTTCTGTTGGTGGATCATTGCTTATGTTGCACACCAGACAGACACCGATACTTAGCCACGATGAGTTAATCTGTGTCAAAGAGAATTAACGACCAAGAGCATTTTTTTTCACATGTTCATGCATTTTTTCCGCGCTCGTCATCTCTTGTCTTAGTGACCCGTCAATAGATGATTCAGGGGCTGTGTCACCTGACCAGGATGACAAACAGGATGGAGAAAAGACGGAAGAACACAAGAAGAAAGTGAACAAAGCAACGAAGCCAAAATACGAGGCAAAAGGTGCCTCCGTGCGTCATCAGATTTTTTTTTCACTTTTGTTTTTAATGTGTTAACATTTTTTATTTATATCTCATTCTCCTGCAGAGGTGAACAAGAAGCCTCGCATGCGCACGGCAGATGAAGTCATCTCTCGGATCCTGTGGGACGCATTGGCGGACGGGGCAGACTTTGTCGTGGGGTACGTGGATCGCTTCCTTGGCGTGCTGGAGCGTCCCTTCAACGACTTCAACTGGGACACCGACCCGTGCGACTGTGATTACTCTTTAGAGCTGGCTCTGCCCAGACACAGGATCCAGTACTTCACCTACAGAGGGCACCGGGTCTGGGACCGCCAGAGCAGGACTGACAGAGTGTTTGGCTCCACCGGTCAATCTCTGGCTCCCCCCTTTGGAGGGGAGGGGGAAGTAAAAGGTGAGAGTGTACCCTGTATTGCCACCTCCACCTTACACACAACCAGATACAAACTGACATGCAGAAAATGTACAAAAGCCAGGACCACTCTGCAGAATTCATGCTAACCAAATGTAACAAATTATTCCAGAAGAAATGAACACAGAAGAGCAACAACAAGACCAGCCACCAATTGAGAGTCTGCACCTGCAGGAAGAGAGTGAAACAGAGGAGTGTGCTCACCCCGAGAACACACATCTGGAGGAAGAGAAGCCGAGTGAGATGAATGCTCACACCCCTGAGTCAAAACCAGCTCCAACGTGCCGAGGAGACACTTCTCAGGAACAACAGGAATCACGAGGAGCAAGTGTTGCGGAGGAGGCTGCAATGAGGTCTGGAGTTCATGTTCCTAGTTTAAATTTAACTGAGAACAGATAACAACTCCTCTACATGTTTCTTTTTTCACTGTGTCTATAAGACTTAACATCAAGTTGTGTGACTTGGAAAGCAATCATACAAAATACATCCTGCCTCTTACTTTGATTTTAGACCCGAGGCTCCAAAAGACCAAATGTCCTTATCCCAAAAAGAGGAAGCAAGTGTAAAAGAGGGCGAGGAAGAGAATGTGGCAGAGTGGGAAGAAAGCTGGGAAGGCAATAAAGAAGCTCCGGTGGGTTAAATCACAATTTGAATCCCTTCTTGTTCTACTTTTACAGTTTAACACAGCGATTCTCTCTTCTATTATACACAGAGTTTTTTCCGAGCCCAGAACAAGAGCCAGAATCCGTCAGCACCTCTGGAGCAGAGAGAGAAACGTGGCGGCGGTCGCCCCGCAAAAAAACGCCCCACGCACTTCATCACCTTCAGGGCCAACACTCCGGCCATCCTCTCCTCTTTCCAGCAGTTGCAGGAGGAGATCACCTCCCTTCTCCCCGCCTCCGCCCCTCACTGGCAGACCGCCGCCAGCCTCCACGTTACCATGTGCCTCCTGAATTTGCCCGGCCCCGCTGAGGTAGCCGCCGCCGGGGAGGTCCTCCGACGGTTCGCCCATTTGGATCGCAACCCGCCGGTGTCTCTGACCTTCCCCGTGAAGCTGAAGCACTTCAACGGGAGGGTGCTGTACCTGAGCCCCCAGCCGCAGCTTCACCTCCAGCAGCTCAACGGCGGCCTGCAGGAGGCCTACAGCAAGGAGGGCTGGCTCCACAAGGACTCCTACAACCCGCGCTACCATCTCACACTGGCCAAGGTAGAGGGCTTTGAGAAGGACAGGGTGTTTGAAGGGGTGTGGGACCTGAAGGTGGGGAAGGGTTTAAACTTTGGCCGTCTGCCAGTAAACACCTTGCACCTTTGTGCCATGGGCTTTTCCGAAGAAGACGGTTTTTATGAGATCGTGTGCACGGTAACTCTTCGATGATAGAAGAGTGGCTCATTTCACACGCACGCACTACATACATGTATGTGAATACACTTGGTGCAATACCTGTGAGATTTGCACTAGCCATGTGGATTCATCAATCAAATCTCATGTCTGTAAGTTATTAACTTAATTCATATAAGGTGCACCTTTAAAGATAATCGGATGAAATACGTTTTGTAGTAAGGCCTAAAGGGAGTAAATTAGCAGCAAGCACACTATTTTAAATTATACTAAACTGTGTTAAGATGCCAAATGATACAATGACCCAACTACCGAATTGTAATATGATTTTAAACGTATGTATTTTCCTTGAATGAATGCAATTTTATCTGTTAGGGCCTACGTTATATCTATATGTTAGATGAGACGTGAATGGTGTCTGCATAGAATAATAATATTGGGAATTTATAATGCAAGTTGATACAATACATCCAGTACTTGCTAAAGTCACAGATGTTTGAATAAAATAATATAAAGACTAAAAACAGATGAACACAAGTATATTAATTGTACTTTATGTCTATTTTTCATGTTATAGTAACGCAAAGTCTTGTAGGTTGCTTTAGTTGATTTAAATTGAAAAATACACTAAAAAGCCCACAATGGACAGAGAAAACAAATTTCAAAATCAGAACTAAAATTATTAGACAATCTGTTGATCAGTAGATTAATCAATTCTAGCGTCTCCATGGTAAGAACACGCTTCTTCACTTTGTCTTGTGTTATGACTTATAAGTAAAATAAAATATTTGCTTTTTGTTGTTCGTTAAACTAAAGACGCAATTTGAAGACATGGACTTCAGGATTTTTTACAATTTTGTTGATCAGAATTAATAGTTTAATTGAGAAAATAATCTGATTAATTAATAATCACAATATACATTGGTTGAAGCCTTAGTCAAGACTGATTAAACATCACATGCTGTAGATGCAGGTGATGTTAAAACAAGTAAAAAGTGTCAAATCAGGACACATGGAAATAGTTGTAAAGGATTTTTATCAGCTTTGAACCATAAAACAACATTAAACACAAGGTTTTAGTAGACTGTACATTTTTCCCGCTATGGGCAAAATAAGTTGTTTAGGGCCAACTTCTCCGTGCACTTTGATCGTCACTATTTTACGACGACGCAGACACGACATATGCGACTGCCATGAAGGCTTATGTGTGAGACATGAATTGTTTATGAGGGGATAAGCGTTTTCTATACAGCTATGAATCAACTATAGTTGTATTCTGCAGCTCATTACTCCACAATTAATCTGTTTGTATAAATATTGCATGGATGGGTGTTCCACAAGAACGATGACTTTGTATGCCTTTTTTGCAATGAATTATAACCGCTAAATTGTGAAGGACATTAAATATTGAATTGGTTATTCAAGTGGTGATATGTTATCAGTGATTGATGGCCTGGATGCCACGGAGGCTGCGTAAACGCTCCCTGAACAACTCTTGCATACATAATATAATGTTGTCTTCTTTCACACACGCATACATACATATACATGTACTATACATAGGCTATATGAGTCAGTGAGTATGCTCTCTGGCTCTCCACTGTTTGCTCCCTCGCTCGCATTATCTCCCCTGCCTCCCTTCCCCCACTCTCTTTCAGTGACACAGAAAAACTAACGCCGCCCCCTCCCTCTTTGCTCGCTCGCTTCTGCCCCTCTTCCTCCACTGCCAGACAAACACCATACTCTTTTTACACCATTATATCTCCAATTTGCATTTCCCAGTCAAATCACCCACCGAGCATCTCCATCCATCAGCGTGCTCTCATCCCTTCTATCACGTCCTCCTCTGCCTCCTGCCTCCTCACTAAGTCAGTGTTGATGCTGTTCTGCAGCCTCCACTGAAAGCTGGTTTTGCCTAAAAACCCATTGCATGGTGCCCCTCTCCCCCCCCCTTCTATTCATTGTTCACACCATCTCTCACCCTCCCTCCCTCTTTCTCTCATCATCACTCCCTGGGAACCCACTTTTATCGCCTTCCCCTGCATCTCCCCTCTTCCCAAATTCATCTTTGTGTGTTTATTCGCTTCTCTTACTCTTAATTCTATGTGCATCTCTACCTCACATTAGCTCCCGACATGTCGCAGCCTTAACAGGGCTGTCATATAGGCAGGAGTTCACTGTTTTGCACCCAACATGTGAGTGGATTTGATAAATTCTATTTTCAGTATTATCTAGCGCGCACAGTTGGATGCCTTTTGACCCTTTCTCTCAGTAATCCGGTCAGGGTTCAGTGTGGTAGTCTGGACGGAGATTGGTCGGGTTCATGGGAGTTTGCGTGGATGGTTGGTGGGGGTCGGCAATTACAAGTGTGCCTCAGTTTGAAGTGAGTGAGGGGTGAGACCCTGCTAATCCCCGTTAACAGATTCATTATCTTTGGGCAATATCGCGTTGTGAAGTCGCTTGGGTGTTAAGCTACGAAGGGCTACAATGCAACGATAAAGGGTCCCTTAGGGGTGTCTCCTCAATCTTAATCCCTCTCTCTCTCTCTTTCTCTCTCTCTAAACTCACTCTCTCTCTCTCTCACTCTCTGTCTCTCTCGCTCGCTCGCTCTCACTGAGAGCTCCTCTCTCATCCATCAACACAAGCACCTCTCCACTGTCACCAGACAACCATTCAATTATTGGCTATTTAACATTTCACTAACCGCAAGATTTATCGGCTCCTTCTTTTTACCCCCATTTTGACATATTTTTGGCATGTCTCCAAGCTACTTTTTCAGGATGATGTTTTTTCAAGAGCATCAAGCGTTGATGGCTGGCAGTATACCCCTTTGAGTGGGTTAATATTTCACAGACACCGGCGGAGTGAAGAGACGAGGAGGAGAGAGAAACCTCCCAACACAACCGACTGAGGTAAGAGACTGATCTCTCTTCTGTCGATTACGGCTTAATTGTTGATATGGTGGAAAGATGAATCCTCAATCCAGTGAAATATGATGAATTACACATTACACCACTTCACAGTCTATTGCTAATTTGGATCAATACTTATTTTTTGTCAAATATGCTTGATGGATGATCATGAAACTATTACACCATATTGCCAAAACTATTGCACCTATTGGATGAATCTTCTCCCATGGACATTTCCAATTATTTCCCGCCCAGTTATAGTTAATTTGTCTCATATTTCCTCTAAATGTGTTGCGGACTATTTGTTTTAATCTGCAAGATAATATTTAGTTGTGCATTGGTTTGTTCGGTCAGACGTGTGGAAGCGTTTTGTCACCATCATCTTGTCACGCTGGACTCTTGCACACATCAAAGCGCTGATTCGCTCTGACTTACTGACTATGAGCTACACTCACTTACCTTCGGTCAGCTGCGCTCACTTTGAAGGTTCATTGTTTGTGGAGCTGAACATCAATTTTACAGATGAATGTAAAGTGAAAATGATTTTCCTCTCGCTTCACATCAGTACATAAAACTAACTTTGCATCCTTCATAAAGATGTTAATTCATTTCTCCTGGCTGATGTCGTGTGACTGTAATTTTCTCTCATACATTACGGTCATTAAGGTTGTTGTTAAAAGGATGTTAGACGACCGCGCTGGCTGTAATGTGAACCATAAAAGATTTTATGTGCATCATTGCAGCAGCAAAAGGACTACATTGATTATATATTCTGCTCAAGAGAGTTGTATTGCCATACAAAGATGTAGGTGGAGATGAATGTCCTGTGCTAAAGATGATCCTAAATTCAGCTGACAGAGATGCCTCAGCCTTGTTCTCATTAGCTGCCTCACAAAATGGCTCTTTTCTTTACATTCAGACATCATGGAGTCTCGTCTCACGCAAGTGATTTCATTCTCTGTGTCGTCTGAGCTCCGTGCAGACTGAACGCGGCACAATTATTCTCCTGTTTTTTGTGTATTTTTGTGTTTTTTTCTTAAGAGCTCATGGTTGGGAGAGAGGATGTTGTTTCTTCGCCATCTCGCTCCTCGTCTGTACCTTTTTTTTGTCTTCAGTTATGCAATGGTAAAAGGCACGATAACGAGCTGGCAGGAGACATCACGTCAAGTAGAGACTTCCTATCTGTGACAACTGCTGAGTAACTGCTGCTCCACAGGACCGTGACCTGCCCCTCCCCTCACTTCCATCAGCACCTAATTAAGTTGCTTCAAACACTTTCTGGGTTGCAGGAGAATCCTACCTGAACTTTGACCTGAAGTCTGTCACTGCTCTGTGTTTCCTCTCCATACATCTTGAATTGATTTTGTGTGAGAAGTGATATCCCAATAAGAAGGATAGCCTGCTGTCATGCTGGTGATTCATCTTTCTTTATCTTTGGTTGTTCGATAAAGGTGTATTCTGCCTCTTATTTGCCTCACGGGGAAAATCGTTATTAGTGCATTTTGTCATCAATCACAGGAAATGCTTTTCTATATTGACCCACTTTATTGTTGGCGGTGATCACAACAGGTAGCCTGATTCTCCTTTGACTGCGGAATTATTCCCTCACTTGATTATTATGCCTCTCGAAAAGCTTTTATCGTCTCCAAAGTCTGATAAATGCACCTCACAGACTTGCCTCACAGCTCCAAAAAATGCATCTAATCTAATGAATTCACTCAAGATAAATGGTCATGAAGGAATGCATAAATATAACGGCGCACAATCTGTTTGCACTGCTGATGTGTGGCGGATGGATGCGACTCTCACAGCGTGTGAACCATAATGTTCAGCACCATTTTAATAAGGGAAATGGAGTGTTGGCAATGATTCGATTTGTGACAGTTGGGCTGCTGGAACCATTAAGGTGAACAGGCTTACTGTAATGGGCTTACAGCCACCCTGTCTGCAGTGGGCGAGCTGTTAACTTGATCTGAGCCATAAACGCCTCAAATCTGAAAGGGAAATTGTCTGGCGTTGACTGTGCCATGTGGCTAAATCTAAACTTCATCATGCACAGTATGCACGAATCAATAGGGATAGAAAAAAAGCCTTCAGCAGTGTAGAATACTGTGCTGATTGAAAGTTCTATTGAATACATAACAGCTGCAAAAAAGGACAATAAAAGCCTTTAATTCAGAATCTATCTGACATTATTGGATCCTTTTCGACTCTCATGCAGAATTGTATCTGTCTGTAATATCGGCATTGAGCTGAGCTGTATAACCCTTTATATTTAAGCATCAGTGCTGTTGTTGTGAATAGTCGTCTCTGTGCTCTCCTCTCTTGAGCTGTCTTGAAACGCTGCTTTTTTTAAACAGTAAAGCGCTGACGGTCTCTTAATCTGGACAGCCGGTATCAGAAGCCGACCAGGGCTCTCGTCTCGCCCTCTGTTCCCCCTCCGCTCTGTCATTGTAATGAGGATTCCAGTGTATGTTGTGGCTAACCGGATTTGCCCTTTGTATTTACCCTACTTTCTCCCCCTTGGTCGGCTTTAGGAGGCAGTGGTTTATGATGTGGTCAAATATATCATGTTTATAATGGTCCTCTTGGGGCGTAATACAGTGTTCTTCTCCTGCATATACTCTGCCAGGAAGACTTCTTGAAAGACCCCATATATCCCCTATATAATCCACGCTGCTCCTATAGCAGATACCCTTCATAAGGTTAAGAGAGAGGTCTTTGAATAGTCACGTAATCTCCCCGGGTTCAAGGCCAAACCCCTCTGGCTGCTAGTAAGAGTTTTTATCGTTTAATCTTTTGATTACTTTTTCGATTCTTTGATTCAGCATTTGTGCAATGAAATATCAAAAAACTCGTTTCCAGAGGCCAAAATTACTATGAAATATTGTCTTTCTTTCCAATTAACAGTCCAAAAGCCAAAGATATTCAATTTAAACTACAAAATATTTGAAATGCTTGAAACAGCAGGAACTTTACATGTTGATTGATTAAATTACTTAAATTATCACCAAAATCGCTGTAGATTAAGTTTGTCAATTGCCTGATTTATCAGTTAATTGACAAGTTGTTTGAGCTCACAGCACGTTACATGCTCAACAAAATTTGTTTGTTTGAAATCTTAATGCAAATAGCGGGGCGGGTAAAGCTAATAACAAGCTAGCTTTATTCAATGATGTTGCCATGATGAACTGATCTTAGGTCAGTGAAGCCAAACATTGTTGTACCTGAAGTGTTACAGGCAAAAACCCACTCACCTCAGCCTCTGCTCTGAGTGATGTACTGTGATTTCAACTCCCAAGAGTCTGTTTCGAGTAACTGGCTGAAATTTTGACCCTTACTTTGCACAGGTGACCACTGGTCATAAATTGTCTCCACTGAGCCCGGATGGAGGAGGGACATAGTGGCCTTCACCCATTCTTTCCCCTCTCCTCTGCTCTCACCCTCCTTTCCTTCTCCCCCCGCAGGGTGGAGGAGGGGGACCGGTGGCAGTAGAAAATGGCTGCCTTGACAACTGTGCCCAGCTATGCCCCTTCACTGTGGGTGAGAGTGTGTCATGCCCTCCCCCGGCTGGACCTCACCATGCAGATGAAGGACAACACCTTTGTCCCCGACAGCTGGGAGTACCAGCAGGTAACAGACACCTGCCACACCACATGCTGTACTGTAACTGTCCAATCTGAGGTGCCGCATTGCATAATATTTACAGCGCTGTATCCCCCTGTTTGTAGCTATAACTCTACAGGTGCATTGTACTACAATTGAGTGACTTGATGATGGGCAATTTGTTCTACATCACACTTTAAATTGCGCCATAAACCCCGCAATGTAACTGCAACCTGCAGAGCTATAATGGCATTTGCAGTCCTTTTAAAACAAACCTTTTCATGCCAACTCATTGACCTCATCATTGGTGGGAAGATTGCACTCGTCCCCTCCAAGAGCCCCTTAGCTCACATCTGACCTTTTTTAAT